TCAAACCCATAATCATAGGTTTCTAGCGCAACGCAACTCTGCACAGACACCTGGAACAGCCATTGCGGGGAGAACATGAGGGAGAACAATGTATGACAAAGTATTCATGATATTCAAACCATGGACAGTGAGCCTTTTTAGGTTATCTTATATTTACATAATGGTACACAATAATAGTAATCAATAACACATACACAGTAACATGTACCTAAACTGGCCACCCTTGTGTTAGCTGTAAACATTTGTTTAGATTGATTGTTTTGCCTAAACACTGTGAATCAAAAGAAGTCCTCAGTACTTCATGATCAGAGGGTTAGTGTGTGTTATTGATCATACGATTCATAGCTCATGCTGTCAACCACTTGTTTGGTGTCATAAGGCTAAAACACTGCTTACTGTTATGTAACTTGGTGGCATTTTAGGCAACTGTGATTGAGTGATTAAGAGTGCATTTTGATTTTTGACAGTAATTGTGCAAGTATTTACAGCAAATACAGTTTTAGTTCCCATATGGTCCTTAGTTTGGTTAAGGCATGTCATGTACATAAAGGATTTGCCACTCAAATTGTATGCATACATTTAATTCCTCAACATCAGTATAGGGTCATACTTTTTTAATGCAATCTTGAAATAAATATATCTGTAAGAGTGTTTTGTTGCATAACAGGGTAACTACTTTTGAATTCTTTACCATGATGGGCTTGAGCGTATGGGAAAGGGTTAGACATTGAACAAGCTCTTGAAGATATGAGATGAATATAGTGTTACATATGTTAATACCCCCAACCTTACACAGTACATGATGGGTGTGTAGCAAAGAAACCCTATACCACCAAACACATGCCCATCATTCAAATATTACCTACCCTAACAAACAAGATGCTTTCTATGTTATGGGGTCCTTTTAATGATATCATTACATATCTATGTTGTATTGCTTATATATACTGCAAACAATTAATACTATGTAATATTAATTACAGAAAACATTACGGTACAGATGCAATATTTAAATGTTAAAACATTTTAATTCATACATATATACCTAAATACAAACATGTAAACACAAACAGATCATTTAAAGAAAATATCAATATTAACAATCTGATGATATTGTGCATAAAATGTCATAGTTTGATTATGACCTGTGAACATCTGTATAGATTGATGTATTACCACTTTCCTTGGAAGTGTGTATTTGTCTATTTCTAAAGCCAAACTGGGGAAAGTGGAAACTCATAGTTTATACTGAGGGGTTTATTGGTCTGTTGATGGCTCAAACAACTGAATACAGGCTAGCTACTGCTAGCACTGACTCTACACGCTAGCCATAAACACGTCACCAGATGATTCCCTAATTACTACTGACTAGTTGTCTGTTCAGATCTCTTGCTGCTCACCAGATTGTTGATACTTGAATTCCAAGGAGGAACTGGCTCTATGAAGGGTGTGAGAACCTCAGTGTAAATTTAAGCAAGGTGATTAGCTCATATAGTTAATGTTGTAGTGAAAAATTATTTTATTTTACTGGAAGTATTTGAATTCCCCTATGGAAATGAACACAAAAGAAGATTTAATAATAATTTGTAAATCTGTGAAATTTGGATAAGATTGTATAAGGCAAGGTTATGTTGTAACTTTTGTGATGAATGTAAAGAGATATGCAAAATACATTGAAAGTTTTAAGTTGACTCATTAGGGCATGAAGTGAGAATTGTCATGAATATGTATACTAGGATAAGTAAATAGAAGAATGACTGTGGGGTAAGCTCTCACCTAGAAAAGGTTTGGTTGAAAGACTGAAATGTTCAGCAATGCAGTAAATTTTGGTTTTAAAATTGAAAAAAAGCAACAGGAAAATATGTAATATATGTTTTTTTTAATGATTTTTGTCAAGAACAAAGCATCGAAGAAAAATAATGAATGATATAGTTATAGGTATGCAAAATAACCTCAACTAACTAATAACTGTAGATATTAAAGGTCATGATAAGATGTAAGTAATGCCTGCCATTTCCTCAACCTGTCAAACAATAGAATGGAAAAAGAAACAAAAGTGCAGGGGAATAGCATTGAAGTATTCAGCCCACTTGTCTGTAGCATATGTCCAAAGTTACAGAGAACCTATGACTTCGACCGCCTCCGTAGTCTAGTGGTAGAGCATCTGCTTGGACAGCGGAAGGTCCGGAGTTCGATTCCTGGCCGTGTCATACCAAAAGACGTTAAAAGATGGTACTTGTTGTTACCCTGTCTGGCGCTCGGCATTAAGGGGCTAAAACAAGGACTGGTCGGCTCGGAGTCAGTATACTGTGTCTGAGTGGGATATTCATGCGTCATGGTATCTCAGTGAGCTTGCACTATAAATCGGCATCAGTCCGGACTAGTATAAGCAGCCACACACACACGTACATGCACGTCGCTATATACGTGTAAGTGCAATAATCTTGGACGCGACGTTAAACCCCATTTCACATCACCTATGACTGTCACTAACACTAAGCTTTCTCATTGATAATGTTGTGGCAAACCTACGATGCAGCTTCCAAAACAAAAACATCTTCAAGTAGTTGCAAGTAGCAGTATTGGACAAATTGTTTTAACGATCAACACTGTTTCGTACTGTGTGCTCAATCACAATTGCGCAAAATTCTGTTTAGAGTCTGGCTGTGAAAACAACATTCATATCATTCTATACAAGAAGTTACATGCATGCAGTCTTTAAGCTGATATCTTCAAAACTTATATGCTAAGCGACAATGAGAACAACTGCCTGTTCAAAATTAAGCATGTTTTCTTATTGTCCCACTTTTTATTGGACAATATGCCAATATGCAAGATTCAAATTAGATAACAAGAAGAGTTTTCAGGTTGATCAGCTAACCATATTGCTGCCATACAGTGATGATTACTTGGCGCAGACAGAACTAAATGTCAACACAATAATAATATTATCTTCATGTAGCATACCGTTACACCTTCATAATTTATGAACAAACCATTCACTTTTTCTCAATGCTGATAAATATTATTATGATGTGAAGGCGATTGGCCAAGAAAAGAAATTCACCAACAGATCATCAGATACAGGCATATGGAAGCTGTAAATATGGATACCCGTTACATGTGATCCAACCAAAAAACAACACATTATAACCTCAGGACACCGTCTTTAAGGTAAGGGTATGCTTTGAGTAGTAGCTCAGATTCTCAAAAGTTCTCAGGGGTTCCCGAAGCACATATGGCCCAGTCTAGACAAACACCTTGTCTCTTAAATGAACATATTTTACAGATCAAAACGGTTGTAAAATTATAGTTATAAAAATATAATAAAAAGGAGAGACTCTTTTCGATATATTTGTTTCAGGGTCACTACCCGTGTACCCAACCCACGGGTGGCCCAGTCGTCTAAGGAGCCGCGATTCGCTGTGCAGAGTTGCGTCCCTTGGGCACGCCAGAAACCTATGATTGTGGGTTCGAATCCCGGTTCGCCCCATTTATGTTTCTAGGTTTGTCGGCACCATACCCGTGCTCGTGGGTTTCACGTGGTAAACGTCTGAGACCTGCATCACTTCGTGCTTTCCTCCCACATTAAGCTGACACGCCGTGATATGACTGTAATACAGTAAACTACGGTTATAACGAACTCAAAGGGACTACAATATTTAGTTCGTTATAACCGTAGTTCGTTATAAGCATATATACAGCATAACCACAGCAAATAGTCAGGACTAAAAAGTAAGTTCGTTATATCCGTCAGTTCGTTATAAGCGTGTTCGTTATAACCGTAGTTTACTGTACTGTTAAAAGCGGCGTTAAACCCAACTCACTCACTCACTCTTAACTAATAAGCATTAAAATCTCTGCACATGATTCAACCTTAACACATAGCTTTTAGTTTAAAAATGACTAGTAAATGCGTTGTGGTGTTTCGGTCGGGCACTGGGTTGTTTGGTTTACTGGTATTTACATACTACGTCGCATGGTAGGAGTACTGCTGTACGGCGTCGGGCAAAAAACACTTACATGTTTATGCATATTTTATGCGTGGGCAGTGGCGGGTGCTTACCCATCTTCCCGAGGCAAGTGAGTTAACTGACTATAAAAGTCCAGTTTCCACCCTTGCCGAACTAGGCTGGTATTATGGAGTTACATTTTGGCTGGACTAACTAGTCTATGCATAGTTCAATCAAAATCGCGCACCGAAATCGAAATCCGGTTCATAAAGAATCATGCAGATTTCGGTCGACTGCAGGATTTGCAAAGCATGTGCACCGCTAACTCGTTGTCAACAGATATTTTCTAAATCTTTTCATGTTTTTAATCAAGGTGCTCACGTGATTTGATGCACTTCGCGATGTAAGACTCGTTTTATCACAATATATATCTTGATTATCGATCAGATTGTCTTGAATGGGCGCCACCTTTTTGTTTGAAGCAAATGCAAGTGATACGAGAGGTTAAATCTGATTGGTCAATGGGAGAGGCATAGAAAGGACATAACTCGGAATTCCAGCCTAGTTTGGCAAGGGTGGAAACTGGACTTTTAAAGTCAGTTAACTCTCTTGCCTCGGGAAGATGGTGCTTACCCTTTTCACGAACACTTGGTGTCACCAGCAAGTTTCAGTGATCTAGTCATATAATGTTCACCCCTAGTTGCCTGTTGCGCCTAATGGAATCTGTTTCTGTGGATAATCGTGACTGGATGTTCCCTGGTATGGATCTGTTATATTTGTATATAAATTTATAAAATGTAATTTGTGTCAGTCATAAATGTTATGAAATACGTGCTGCAAATATGATACCCAACGCAAGCATCGAAATTACCACTCATCATTTGCTCCTGAGGGATGTTTGTTTGGAGAAAAGCCAGTGCGGCAAGCCATACATAATATTTTCTCTCAAAGGTGGAGCCACAAACCATTATTATTTTTTTTTAAATCTAGCATAACACCGAACAATTTATGTTATATTTTGTAAAACAAGAGGACAAATTCTGTATTTTTCGGGAACAGATATACATGTATCTAAAAAACCTACAATACAATTGATAAACATATTTGAGACACGATCCACTTTTGCTTCTTCGTGATTACAAAGGTTCAGTGTCAAGTAGGTGTTTCCTCTTTGTTACATCAATGAAATTTCTTAAGAAATTAACATATTCTAAAATTATGTTGTACGAATAGGAAATTCGAAACCTGACCTTTATTAAGCAAAAGAATTGTGAGAGTAGATTGTACCCAGTCATCCTAGAAAAAAATCTTGACAGTAAGCACATTGAAATATGACATGTTTTCGAAAAAAGTTTAAATAAGAAAGTTGACGGGAGCTGCTGACAAAACATTTCTGAAAACATTGTACTCCAAAGTCTAATAGTTCTGATATACAACATCGACATGTCTGCAACTGACTGGAGTATGAATGACTGATACTATGGGTACGAGAGGTTTAGCCGACAAGCGCAATTTTAATATAATGTAAAAGGACAGAATCTTGATGGATATATGCATTCTAACGCCAGTAATCTCTGTTTTAATAATTGTGTTTAATTGCCAATGACCTTGACGTCGCATACTTTCAACCTCTTAGATTCACCAGGTACCCTCAGTTCAACGTACTGGTAGGATCCGGACAACGATGCACAGGAGAACTCCTGAACACTGCTAGGTGCAAGGAGCCCCCATGTTTTGGTGCAAGTGTCCGGGCAGGCAGTCGACGGCGGACAGCCATTTCCCAGCGCCACTTCCAGGGTTGCAATGGGATCCGAGGCTAGAGTGGAAACAAATGATTCAGTATCAACGTCATAAAGAATCTAAAGCAATGTGCCAAGTCTGGGTTTGTCAGTGGTGTGATGTGGCTACAAGTAAATATCCCATCTTTATATGTAATGTTTTTACAAAGAATGAGTGTTGTTTTGCGTCGCTGTAATGTCATGAAAAGAACAGTGAGTGAGTGAGTTGGGTTTAACGCCGCTTTTAACATTATCCCAGTTATATCGCGGCGCGTCAGCTTAATGTGTGAGGAAAGCCCGAAGTGATGCAGGTCTCAGACGTTTACCACTTTGGCGAAACCCATGGGCACGAGTATGGTGCTGACAAACCTAGAAACATAATCGGTGCGAACCGGGATTCGAACCCACAATCTTAGGTTTCTGGCGTGCCCAAGGGACGCAGCTCTGCACAGCGAATCGCGGCGCCTTAGACGACTGGGCCACCCGTGCCTCCCATAGCACAATGATACCTAACACCAAGGTTATATGTGTTTTGGCTAAAGGCATCTTGCAATACTGTGAATCCTTGAAGAGACTCCTGTCTTGAATAGACGCCTGGTTAAAATCAACAATTTTTATCCCTTAATATAGATTTTTTTTCAAGTACTCGATCAAGTGTTATTGAAAGGAAAACTGTTAGCAAACAAAACGCTTTTCAAATTACCCATCCTCGTGGAAATGTAATGTGCTTAAAACATAAATTTAAAAGTATCAGTTATCCTAACTACCACATAACTACCAACACGACTAACATGTGGTCGCTGCAATTGTTCACTGCAAACATGGAAACCCTGTTTGTGGGAATTTGACGAAAAAACGACTTTGCGGTACATTCTAACCATTGTTTTTCCGTCCAGAATACGTCGTTGTTTAACATAGAAAGTCACATTAATACAGAGACAACCCATTTATTTCTCTCGGGGCCGATATTTGGTTCGATATTCACTATTCTGCCTCAACTCTTAATGGGTTTAAACACATGTTTACGTTCATACGTATTTAATGTGGTCCCCCTTAGGCGCGTAAGCATGCATCCCCCTAAAAGCGGTACAGCGAAGTTTAGGTTTGGTCACCTTATGGACGTCGCGGATTATGACGTCAACGAACCCCACGAATACCAGCAAAGTCTATATCAATTTGGCGAAATCCCAAAGGTTCAGAGTACATGTTTCTTATGGGAACGATTTTGGGCATCCCACAGCAAAAGTGGGGATAGTGCTGTTTCTGGATCATGCAATTTTACAACAACTCCGGTCACTCACCACAACAAAACTCTGAGGTGGTTACTTGAATGGTGTAGATGTTGTAGGGTTGACCAAGGTCCACCTTCCACCAGGGATTGGTACTGTATGCACTCCAGGAACATCCTCCAGACAAAGCTTTTGGTGGAGAATATTGGGGGTAGACAGTGGAACTCAAAGAAGCTGTCTTGCCAATGGCGATGTTGTACACTGTTTTGAATTGTAAATTGACAATGTCATTACAACAATACAACTACTGTTTACATAACTAAACTACATCTCCAGTACTCCCAATACACCTGCGACTACTACTGGAAGAATACTTAGCAGTATTAATACTTCTTCCGTTCTGTGGCATTACCTTCTACTACTACAGATTTATTCTTCGTGAAAATGTGCTTGTTTACTTTGTGAACTGAAAAGTAGTAAGTACATCGATTGTATCGCAATATTTGTTACTTTCTTCAGAAATTTGAGCTTTGCATTGATTGTCCCATCAGTGGTGGAACAGATTATGCTGAAACGATTCAAATACGAAATCACGTTTGGTTTCGATGACAATGCCGTTGAAAAGTATTTCAATACTATCTAGTTAAACACAAATTCAAAATATAAAAATATGAATTAGAATAATAGGGTTCTAACCAACTGCTTTGTTTTTAATAACATATCGAGTGGAGTTTAGTTGTGCCAGGACAACGGTCTTTACAGAAACGCACCCTCGATGTATCGCGTGTACGATGTGAATCCCTGGTCCGTCGCTGCTCCTTGTTCCACGAGGAAAGATCTCATGTCACACGTGCCGTTAACAGGGTAAAACTTGTACCCCACACAGCCCTGTAGACCAGTGCACTTGCGGGCACAATCCAGCGCCGTTTTTGCCATCTTCCTGTTCAGTAGATGGTCATAGAATACCTGCCCTGAATGACCTCCTGTCAGTGAGAACTTGACTTGGTCACGTGAAGCAGTGATGTGTCGCAAACACACCAAATACAGCCACAAGAAAAGATCTGCACCTGATACCATTTCTCCAAATCTAATGATGGATGATTTGCCCTTCAAATACTTCTGTTGTTTCTGTACCTGGTTGGAAGAACATTGAATCAAAACTTTAAGAACGCAGGTGACAAGAGCAGTGAGTGAGTTTGTGATGACGCCCATTTCAGCATCATTGTGTTCGTATGTGGGACGAAAGCTCAAAATGCCACAGGTTTATAGATCTGCAATAAATACGACCCGTTCATCCATTAAAACATAGCTATCAACACAGAAATCCCTACATTACAATATTTGTTTGTTTGTTTAACGCCGCACTCAGCAATATTCCAGCTATATGACGGCGGTCTGTAAATAACATCTGGACCAGACAATCCCTTGATCGACATCATGAGCATCGACCAAGTCAGTAATCCTGAACACCCGATCCCGTTAGTCGCCTCTTACGACAAGCATTGTCACCTTTTAGGGCAAGCATGGGTTGCTGAAGACCTATTCTACCCCGGATCTACATTAAAATAGCTGAAACGGCAACACATATATGTATATGTATCAGAACATACTTGGGGAGAAAGCAATGACTGTCATTGGCAGCAAGCTATAGAGGTAGATGCATAAATATCGAAATAAACTAGCAGGAAAAAGAAACGCCATCAAATAAATAATGGTATTCAGTTTTTTTCAACAAATTTGCCTAACAGCACGAAAACAGTTGGGAACACATAGCTGGAATTCAACTTACCTATTCCCTGTGAACATGTGCACGTGCTTCACGTGATTTGAGAGAAAAGTGAAATTAATCACTAAAAAAGTGCAAAATGTGCACAAAGTTACCGTATGAAATTCTGGTGTAAAACATGAGCAGGATTGTACTCTCCCATCACATGAAACCGTTTAAAACAACGAACATGCCTTGACTAACCGCAGAGTAGATGGCGAGAGCCATCGGTATGTTGCAAATGGGAGCGACGCAGGACCACGTTGCTAGGATTGCTAGGATTGCTGGCAGTACTGCAGACAGGCCGAGGAGTGGAAGACCCCACAGGAAGACCGGTATTTACGGGTGCTTCATCTAAGGTCCAGATTCCTAACTGTGACGTCATCATCCGCAAACAGCAAAGGGACCGTTGCTAGACGACTCCGCCTGTATTGTCTCCGTGCCTATCGACATTTCAAGGGCATGACGTTAACGTTTCTACACCGACGTCACAGACTGAGATGGGACAGGACTGTACAGCAGTGGCAGCAGAGAAATTGGCGAAGAGTGCTCTTCATTGTCGAAAGTAGGTGCCAGTTCTTCAAGTCTGATGGGCGGGTTCGAATCTACCCACGACGCGGTGAACGGACGGCACGTTGTTGCGTCCAGGAAGTGGGACCTTATGGAGGTGGTAGTGTCCTGGTTTGGGGTGGCATCTACGGGGACTAGAAGACAGATCTGGTCATTAACGACGGACATCTCACTGCACGTCGTTATGTCGATGAGGTTTTGCGGTCTGTGGTACTGCCTTTCCTGCTCCAGTCACTAGCGACTTTCTGAACGCCAACAACGTGACCGTATTGCACTGGCCAGTGAGATCACCGGACCTGTCGCCCATAGAGCACCCATGGAACCAACTTGGACGCAGGATTTGAAAACGTCAACAGCCGCCATTGACGAGGGATGACTTGGCAGGTGCCCTGCAGGAAGAATGGCGTAGGATCCCTAATTAGGATGCCAGGAGACTCGTGTACTCAGTTCGACGTCGTATTAGGGCCTGTATTGTTGCTTGAGGGGGTCACATCCGAAACTTAGCCATGTGTGTAGCACCGGACTTCGATTCTGCGGGTGTGTCGAATATTAGACAGTGCACCCAGCATGATAAACGTGTCTGCAGAACTTTAAGTACATCTTGCCTTGTCTTGTCATTTTCAAATACCGTTCCTGAATAATTGTTTATTTTATAATAAAACATCAACTGTTTTTAAATTTTGCGTCTGTTTTGTTTTAGACCAGTAAATTGTATAGTGGCGTTTCTTTTGCCTGTTAGTTTATAATTTAGAAAATATGTGACATCTTACTTAATGTAATGATTAAAACGATGCCTATCAATATCTGCGTTAAGCTCACCTTAGAAATACCTGTCACATCAGAAGTTCCTCGAGAAAGGAAACGACCAGATGTTAGTTTCACAGTGGTTTCCGTCGATAGATACATTCTTTTGTCCACGACCAGATAATGAGATGCAGTTTTGTGTCGTTCCCATGGACCTCGTTCATAATAAACTGTTCAACACATCCAAGGGGGAGATCAGAAATACATGACCGTCAATGTTAGCGGCGTTGAACAACAAATAAGCCAGACAAAAACCAAACAATTTCCTCAGTATTCTTGACGTTTTACTGCTCTTGCTGAACTCAGACATGCAATTGTTTGAGATTTGATCGATAAAGCCCTCACACACGACTTAGATTTCTTCATGGTTATTTCATTAGAACGGGGCCATGACGACTTAGGAATTGCAAGTCATTGTGTATTATTCCAGGGTCTGCTGGATCTCTACGTATTTCTCCTGATTATTCACGCCTTGTCAGCATATCCTCGGAGTATTCAACAAACAGATAACATCTTCAACCAGTGTTATATTCAAATTATAACTTTGACTGCTAGTTACAGTAGCTATTTCAAATAAATTCTGTATTTAGTTTTAATACGTTCATTGACAGAATGTCATTGGTTAGATTTTGGATTTTTCAGTCTTTAAAGAAATATACTATTATTTGTGTATTGTGCTTACCCATAATGTTGACTAGTATTTGGACCTTTGACGGTTCAAGTTCAGGAGGATTTATTAGTTTTATGAAGCTTGCATTGCATAATTATTAACTGAACTTGTATAATAACGTCGCGCACAGACCGCTTGGAACGCACGTCTAGACAGTGAGGATTCCCACACAAGCAAGATATATGTATTACACATATGTAAAAGCTGGAAAATCAAAACTGTAATATTGGAGTAGACAAAAAAGAGATGGCACATTATCACCCCTAGCTTGATAGGCATGTAAAGTGGTGTTTAGAAGTCGTGTTTTAGGTCTTTACCGGAAATGACCCAATCATTTAAGCATAAGAGGCAACTACAATAATATTTCTCTCGTTTGAAGAATTAATAAGATAGAAATTATTTTCTCCTGGCGGTATGTCAGTCAAGGTGATTATGTGCCCCTAGGTGGCGTGATTAAGGGGGTATATAAGGGGTAGTACAATTTTGAATTGTTCTCTCTCGCTCACTGTGCATGCACGGCCTCACACTTGTTTCTCATATTTATTTGATGTACATGTATATAGTAAAAAAATGTTCTTCATTTTATGATTTATTGATTTCATTTGTTCCAGATAGTCGTGGAAATGGAATACACATTTGAGGGTAATGTGTACTGTTGTAAGTGATGCTATTGCTTGGCTGGCCTTGCTTCATTGTGAAAGTCCATAGTTGGATGCAGTGATGTTGCTTGGCCGACGGGCCTTTACAATACAGCATTGTTTTATTGTGAAAGTATGCATTGTTGGATGCAATGATATTGCTTGGCCGGCAGGCCTTTATAATACAGCGTTGTTTTATTGTGAAAGTGTGCATTGTTGGATGCAATGATATTGCTTGGCCGGCAGGCCTTTATAATACAGCGTTGCTTTATGCATGATGTGTAAGTTGTACATCTGTTAAAACTGTATCATTCTTCTGCAGAGCCCTTATATCACATATCTTCAAAATAAGACCATATATACTAAGCTGAAGATCTTTGATAATACTGCATATACTATGCGAGTTGGACCGTATATAATGAATTATAAAATTCATTTGTAACATGATGTACATGAATTGTTAGTATTTCTGTTTGGACTTGCATATAAATGTCATGAGTATACTGTACACCCTCCAGTATTTGCTGCTGCATCCGTTGAGGGAACACGGTTCCAGATGTTTTCTTATTAAAGTTTTTTATATCTGGTTTTACGTGTCGGGATTCAGCAAAACATAAATATTCATAGCAGATTGCTGACAATGTATATACAAATGTGTATAAATGGATATCTTTGTCTTTTACTATACGCAAATAAATCGGCCGTGTATCACACGGCGTATTCCCCTGTTAATGGTGTTGTGTCTTGATTAAGTATGTAGGGGATAAACAGGAAGGTAATTTCTCACATGTTTGGACGATAATCTCAAAAAAGCAAACAAATAAGCATTACAATGGAAGAAAGCTGAAAACGTCGATGAGATAGGTCACTGATTGTAAGTAAAGCTTCACAATAAACAGTCAGGAAGTAAAGCAAATTCAAATTGTCTTTATTTATCTGTACAGAAGTTCGTGTTATATAACTACTGAAGAGGAGAGTTGACGCCGTCCTGTTAAAGACTAGAAATGAAATATACTCTTCAAAAAAAGAAACTTGACACTGACTTTCAAAATGTAATATAATGCGATTGTTTCAAAATAGGACACCATAATTGAAACACTGTTTGAAGATCAATGTACACAATGTTCAAAACATTAATCGTGTCACCTAAACAGACACACGTACACGATACAGTGCATGCTGAAGTGCATCAAGAAGCGCCGGAAGTGTTTGGGGCGGTGGATTCCTTCTGCGAACGCGTCGATCCAACTCGTCCAACAGATGACCAATCGGGGACAAATCTGGTGACCGGGCTGGCCAAGGTAATGTCTGGATGTTGTTGTTCTGTAAGAAGTCCTGACAAACACGTGCAATATGCGATCGAGCGTTGTCCTGCTGGAACTGTCCGCCATGAACGTTGACGTGAGGAAGAACGTAAGGCTGTAGGATCAAGTCTCTGTAACGCACACCTGTCAGTCAATGCACCTGCCACATGAACGAGGGGCGTCCTACCACCGTGATGAATTCCGGCCCATACCATGACACTCCCGCCGCCAAATGGGACAACCTGCTGCACACAGTTGAGGGCGTAACGTTCACCCCGACGTCTGTAGACACGTGCGCGCCAATCAGCACGTGCGAGTAGGAAACGGGACTCATCAGTAAACAGTACATTTCTCAACCTTGCACGTGCCCATCTAACCCTCTGTTGGCACCAAAGCAGACGGTCTGCCAGATGACGTGGGGTCAATACATGACGTCGAACAGGTCTTCGTGCAAAAAGTCCAGCCTCCTTCAGTCTGTTGTGTACCGTTTGATCTGATTTTCTGCGTACCCCAGGGATCTGTGTGGTTGTAGACGTGGCTGTGGTAGTGCGGTCTCGGAGGTGTCGCAGCCGGATGTATCGATCTTGTGCTTGGGTTGTCACCCTTGGTCTTCCTGACCTTGGTCTGTCGTCAACTCTGTTGGTGTTGGTGTATCGGGTCCACAGTACGGAGATTGTCTGTCTGGATACGCTAAAGTGCCTGGCCACTTCTTGCTGAGTTGCTCCAGCTTGTAATCTCCCAATGGCGTTGTTCTGTTGAGCTGCATTCAGTCTTGGCATTCTGTCACCGCCTCTCCTGCCGTTATAAGGACTGTATGAACAGCCGTTGATGTTGATTTTTATACCCATTCGGGGGGGGGGGGGGGGGGGGGCTGCATGCCTAAATGCAGGATCCTGTGCTGCACGATTTTTACAGGCGGTTGCGTATGGATGAAGCTGTAAAATTGATCCCCAAACGCTACGTTTATGTGCTTTGCATGTGTTTTCGCGAATTATAGACTGTTTGACTTATTTGGTTCTCATTTAATGTAATTATTTTAGATATTTCGCGTAGTCAACCTCGGTGACATGGTTGATTGCATGGCACCGTATCTCAAATGCGTGAGTTGATGCTAGGGATGTCTGGATTGTCTGGTCTACACTCGATTATTTACAGACCCCCGTCATCAATCTGGAATATGACTGAGAGCGGTGTTAAACAACAAACAAACAATGGGCAATTGACACATGGCGTCGATTTCTGAGTGCGTCTTGACAAAGGGAAAGTTGAAGTCACCCTTCTTGTCATACAGTCTTGAGGAGGGTATTTGGGGTTTGGTTGGGGATTCATTTGCTGCCAGCACGAAATTACGTATTTCCCGTTTAAGCGGAAGGTAATGCCCTTTAGGTAAACATAACTTTAACAATGTATTGAGGGATAAAATAGACAAGTTCGGGTGACAATTAATCATGAGATCATATTATTGTTTGCCTGGGTATTTGTAATTTATAATCTGTCCTTATTGACTAGATTTAATCCGTACATTACCCCGATACCCCATTATTTGGAGCACTGTTGTGAATATAATTGAAGTATTTGCCTTCTTTATTCCTAACCAAACTTTAATTCAAGGATTTTTTTATGTTGTAAACATTATGCCTCTCAGCTACACATAATCCGTGAGGTGAGGGGAAACGCGGTTTAAGAATAATGTCGCGTTCAAGAATAATGCCCATAAAGGTATGTGCATGCACGTGTGTCTGCTTGTACTTGTCATGACATATGCCGGTTTTAAAATGCTGGCCCACTATGCTCGAGTATAAAGATAAATTTAATCTGTCTTTTTTAGATAAAACTAATTCACAGAAGATTCGTCTGCAATTTTGTCACATTTTATTGTAATACATTTTTTGACAGGACATGTAAAAGTAATACCATTAGCGTAATCAAACCGATCCTGCTTGTAACAAGTCCACCATCTAAGGATCCTTATCACATTTGCGGTGATGACAACGGCGCTCTTATAAGCAGTTCACCTTTAATTACTCAATGTGGTTCTAGGTTAACAGCATCATACCTGTGCTCGTGGGGTTCGCGAAAGTGGTAAACATCTCATGTCTGTATCATTTCAGGCTTTGCTCCCACATTCAGCTGACATCCCATGATATAGATGGAATAATGTTCAAAGAGGCGTTAAACCTGACTCACATGAACATATAGTTTCAATAGAAGTTGACAACTAACCCTCTGAACTGAGTCCAAGGCATATCTTTTAATTTCATCGCAACCTGTTGTGCATTGCTCAGACTTACCAAGTCATTTCTTGGAAATAGAATATACCATCTCCCATTGCAGCAGTGACAGGTTGTAGAAATAGTTTTAAAAAGTGCTAAGCGAATTTATTACTCGAACGCACTTTATTAATTAACATTCATCTAAGTATTTTAAATGTGTAAATCTTAAACGTTAGTAACCAATTACTCCCAGTAAACGATACAAACTCAAAATAAATGCCTCTCCACACTGAATTGGGATGTGGCAGAACTTTACCTACATCGCGGTCACTCGTTCCTACTGTCAACTACTGTCAATGTTGCGGTTGCAAGTCTCCTGCACCTGTGGATTTATTGGGAATAACCCTGCTGGCACAACGTGATTGCCAATGGAATTGAAATATGACTGAACACACTTGTTTTAGGCTGACAAGAGAAATTCTTCTCTCCATATTACCCCTCTCTTGTCAGCAGTGTCTTGTGGTGGACAAATCCCCTCTGCCAAATCCTAACGTTGGTAATACGAGATGGCAATGAATATCGATCACAAACAGGTTTGTAAACAACATGTCATGAATAAAGTTTAAAAAACAAACCAAACCCAATAGTGTATTATAATGTATTATTTTACTTTCATTATCGTTTGTTTCAGTGAGGAAATTACCTTTCTCTACCAAACATGCCCCTTAGAGTTTCATAAAAGTTATCATTTGTATGCAAAACTCATGCCTTCGTTAAATTCTGTAATCTCATCATCGAAGCAATCAGGTTTTTGGCCTCGAACGTCTAAATCGTCGCCAAAACATCCGATATCAAACGTACCGTTTTTCATTTATTAGACACTCGGGCGTCTGTTTATTTCGCGACAGCCGTTGGCCCTGCGTGTGTTAGAGGCCTGATGCATTTTTTAGAGACCCAGTGTCTAAAAGAAGAAATATTGATACCGTATACAGTTCTAATTATGAGTGATCGATCGGCAGCCATTTTATGGATCGATATGTAGGCTATCGATGTATTCATACGCACGGTGTTTGTGTGAAAAGGCTTAATTTATTTATGAGAGGTTTCTGTTGCTTAGAGGAAACCTCTTTTTAATCAACCGGAATCAAGAATTCTTCAACGTCATGGTACAATTAGTTTTAATGTCAACAGTTGGATTGACTTTATAATGAGGATCATGTCAATTATTTCTCTCACGGTTTGGGCTGCTTATCATTCGTCTTTATAAAGTGAATTCAATACTTGTCAGAGTGCTAACACTGCAACTGATACAGTGCACATATAACCAACTGATCATAATGATCAAATATTAACCTTGCACCATTGAGACTATGTCTGCGACAACGGCATCTTTGATATGTATCGCAATTCGAATCATGACATGATAACTAATTGTGATCAAATATACTATGTCATGTCATTTAAAGCAACAAGGTTTAGAAAGCTGAAGTGTTTATAAATGATACTGTCGATAAGTTTAGAACATCCTTTGGTGTAACACATTCTGAGCAGTTCTAATCATGCCTTTAATAACCTTCGGACAATGTTTCAGTTTTCTTATTTTCTTCTTGTTTTAAAATTAAAGAAGGTACAGTATGAATTAAGCAGCGAATGGAAAACAGTGCAAAGGTCAAATGAAGGCCATAAAATTTGGCATTAAAGTGGAGCGAGAACAAGTGGGTAATGACATCGTTTTTTAGTCAGGTGAGCTAAAAATGTTGTCCCAAGACAATGTTGCTCACGTAGTATACTTATACACGTGCATGTAAGAGAAGTTCATACATGTACAAGGACGTACATGACTTTCGTGAGTGTAGCAGCAATTAGTATGGCTGCTCCTTGAGATTAAACACTTTATTACATCTTAAGGGTTATGTAATCCAGAGGATAGTCTGGTATCTGTATTTGGCGTCAGGTCAGTACACAGAACAGAACTCACAAAGGCGATGACTAAACATAAATACTAAATACCGCATTAATGAAATAACAAAAGTTGGTAAGGGTTCACCCATTTATTGTTAATGTAACAAAGAAGAACGTAAATAAGCACACTGAATGTTGAGTCTCAAACTTAAATAATATTCGTCAATCGACCACAAAATGGCCACGGGATCGAATGGTCAGGCTTGCTGACTTGGTTGATGCATGTCATCGATCCCAAATGCTCATCGATCGATGCTCAAGATGTCAATCACTGGATTGTCTGGTCCAGACTCAATTAATTACAGGCCGCCGTCTTGTAGCTGGAATATAGCTGAGCAAAACAAACAAAGAAACAGAATGGCCAAGTTATGACTTTCGTTACTTACAACCTTTTTAAGCATTTCCCTCTGTGAACAATTTCTGACTTGTGTTTCAAGTGTGTACTTTAATTTTACAACATGCACAGCAACATCAGTTGTACAGTAGCTACGGCAAATCGACTTCAACAACAAAAACACTCCTTAGAATATGTTCACGACAAATATGGACAGTCGTTACAACAAAAACACTTCATAGAATATGTTCACGACAAATATGGACAGTCGTTACAACAAAAGAAGAAATTGTATTAAGGAATGGAGATTTGAGAAATGGTACTTCAAAGGCACTGCCACGTTATAAATAATTCTAAATCGTCATTACAACCTAACTCATGAGACGACAATGTTATCTAAAAGCACAACATATGTTTTATGATATATAAACTTCACAAACAAAAAAAGCGGTATGCTACCATTGCAAAATGCAGAAATCTTTTTTTCTGTTATGATTTTATCAATCTTAATCTGTGGTTATGAAATGTTCGGATATTGTGATAATGATCAGCGGGGAGTCCAATATGGCTTTAATTGTCTTCTGACCACATAATCTTGTGTTGCACATAGTCCCCTTTGTGATTTGAAATATTCCACCAATCCGTGAATGAATTCAACTGTCTAGAACAATAGGTCAAACTGTATACGGAAAAGGGTATACATGTATGGTGATGTAAAGGTAATTTGTGTCTGTCATAAAGGCTATAATTACGTGCAAACGTGCTGCAGGTGTGATACCCAACGAAAGCATCCAAATAACCACCCCAGGACTCATCATGTGCTACCTAGGGATGCTTATTTGACTGAAAACCAAGTACTTCAAGCCATACACAATGTTTCTCTCAAAGGAGGAGTCAAACAATTCTTTTGAAACATATTATTTCTCGAAACATCCAGCAATATCCGCGAACTAATTTATTGTGTAAGTCAAGAGGACAAATTATGCATTTCCTGTATTTTCGGGCTCTTTATGGACATGTAATGACCAGTGTATGTAGGACTGAGACTATGGGTAGCAGAAATGTATCCAACAAGCACAATTCAATTTCATGTAAAGGGACAGATTGGATAAACCTGTTCCAACGCTTGGTAATCTCTTACAAATTGGATATTACTGTTTAATTGCCAATGACCTTGACATCACATACTCTTAATTGTTTAGATTCACCAGGTACCCTCAGTTCAACGTACTGGTAGGATCCGGACAATGATGCACAGGAGAACTCCTGAACACTGCTAGGTGCAAGGAGCCCCCATGTTTTGGTGCAAGTGTCCGGGCAGGCAGTCGACGGCGGACAGCCATTTCCCAGCGCCACTTCCAGGGTTGCAATTGGATCCGTGGCTAGAGTGGAAACAAATGATTCAGTATCAACGTCATAAAGAATCTTTAACAATGTATCAAGTCTGGGTTTGTCAGTGGTGTGGGATGGCTACAAATAAATATTGCATCTTCAAATGTCATGTTTTTAACGATTTCAAAAGAATCAACTTGATAAATTAAATTACATTATTTCTGTTACTTCTGTTCTGTGGGCGTTCTTTGCATGACATTAACTGTTGCGTCTATGCTGCTGCTCGAACATTGGAGCAACTTCACATAGCTTCTGAAGACATTAAACCACAAAAGGGTAATAAACAAAATCATCAAAAGGAAAACCGGTTCCATATTAAACCAAATGAAACAAGGAAAGATATATACTGGATAGGACTTTGCTTAAAATTACGTTCCTCAGGGCAATCAATGTCAAAACTTCAAAAAATACAAAAGAGAAAATTCGAAATCAAATTCTTGATTCTCTGAAGGCAAAGGTAAGGGTTTCGACAGAAAGAAAAGTAATTTCATAAAACAATACAAATTGTTGATATAATGAAAAACAATTTTACAGGCAATTAAGTGTAACCAATGGCAGTGATGAAAAAAGACCCACCATGGTCTCCAGTAAAAGGTTTTGGAAACAGTTGTGGTCTATACCCGGGCAACTGTAACCTAGAGGAACCATATGTGTATAGGATAACAATGATTGGGTACACGAAAAAATAAGGTCACCATTGTTGTATTTCATCACACCTGATTGCCTGAAAATATAATTGAAAAGTCCAAATCTTATATGGCGACAGGGCCTGATGGTATTCCATCAGTGAAGCATGTCAAGACTCATGATGAAAACAAGGCATTCCGCAGTTTTCTTTAACGAGCCAAGTATGCGGGACATAATCTCAATGTCAGTGTTGAATTTGTTGATGGTTCTGTACTGCTGGAGGTACAGAAATGAGTGTCAAGCAAGCACAGTGCCATATCAAGTCGACCCAGATTCAGTTATTCAAGGAGAGACTATCTGAACGACCACTGCATCGAGTTGATGTGCAGTGTGTTTAGATAATAAATCCTGCAGAGTCATTCGCTTGGATGAAGTCGGCTGGCCTGAATAGTGAGACAGATGGTTTTCTGTTTTCTGCTCATGACCAGTAACTTCCCACTCGATATCGTCAGTGTGTGATTTTGCATCAAAATACAAATATGAAATGTGGAATATACAATGAATTTAATGAGACTGTCCAACAAATTGTCAGTGGATGCCCAGCTGTGGCACAAACACAGTATCTTAAGCGACATGATGGAGTGGCTCGATCCTTTTATTACCGTCTTCGCCTTCCTTGTGGACACACAATCCATGGTACGACCCAGAATACGTAGAAGGTGTCATGGAAAATGATAAATACAACATTTTGGAATAGACCCTTTTCCAGCCTCAGACCTATCCAGGCCAACAAACCTGATCTTGTCGTTTTTGATACATCCAATGATATCTTTTCATTGAATTTTCTGTCCCTCTTAACACTGTTATTGACAAGTTTCAGGAAAAACATTGCAAATATGCTGACGTCGCTTGCAAAATGTCCTGCTTGCATCCAAAGTACCAAGTTGTCCGACTCCCATTGTTCTCGGTGCCTTAAGGTTAGGTACCTCCCAATATGTTGACGGACATAACAATAATAATAATAATATTTGAAACGGAACGTGTGCTGTCTCTTTAGTAACTTAACATGTACGAAATTAAAATTTTAATTTAATTATCAGCTTTATTGGTCAAGTGATTTCTCAGAGAGATATTTACCGACAACAACGACGACACTGTACAGCTAGGTGAGATCAAAATGCCTGCAAATATAACCAGTGATCGATAGACGATATGATGGCAAATGACACTCAACCCAAAGGTTATGTGTGTTTTCGGCCCATGACCATTTTGGTGATTCACCCACAATCATAGGGTTCTGGCGCGCCCAAGGGCCGCAACTCTTCACAGCTGCGCCAGTTCTGGGCCAATTCCGCCTGGAATCTTAATTGGTTATTTGCTGAAGCTCAGGGTACATGTTTCTGATGGAAAGTTTTTGGGGCATTCCACAGGTGAGAATATGGCTGCTGCTGTTTTTGCATGTAATACAAATACCTCGCAGTAACTCACCGCAACACGAATCTGAGGTGGTTACTTGAATGGTGTAGATGTTGTAGGGCTGACCAAGGTCCACCTTCCACCAGGGATTGGTACTGTATGAACTCCAGGCACATCCTCCAGTCAGAGCTTTTGGGGGAGAATATTGGGGGTAGGCAGTGGAACTCACAGAAGCTGTCTTGCCAATGGCGATGTTGTACACTGTTGTGAATTGTAAATTAAAAATGTCATTACAACAATACTGCTACTGTTTACCTTACGAAACTACACCACCAGTACCCCTACTAAAACTGTGACTAGTATTGCGAGGATAAAAAGTATAAGTATAACTCCTTTACTTTGACGTCACCTACTTCAACAACAACAACAACAACAACAACAACAAAACTACTACTAAAAGGTCAATTACAAATTTACTAAAATCTACAATTACTACAACGAAACATTCTTCGTTAATTTTGCTTTCTGACATCCTGAACTGAAAAGTTTGTCAGTACATCGCAATATTTTTAACTTTCATCCTGAGCTTGAACTCAGCATAGAGTGTCCGACCAATGATGTTTGCAGATTAATATGTGCAAACGATTCAAATACGAAATCACGATTGGTTATAATGGCAACGATGTTTGAAAAGATTTCAGTGCTGTCTCTGCCGTATGTACTATACAGTATATTATCCAGTGAAAGCCACATATTTTCCTGGACGACAGTTTCAACTTCAAAAAATTAATTTCTAATTAGAACACCAAAATGCTACCAACAAACTGCTATGTAACCTCTATTTCTTGTGATGTTTAGAGAGTTTTAAATTATGCAATTAGTGGAGATTATCGATAGATTTTGTTTGCCAGGACAACGTCTGTTAAAGAAACGCACCCTCGATGTATCGTGTGTACGATGTGAATCCCTGGTCCGTCGCTGCTCCTTGTTCCACGAGGAAAGATCTCATGTCACACGTGCCGTTAACAGGGTAAAACTTGTACCCCACACAGCCCTGTACACCAGTGCACTTGTGGACACAATCCAGCGCCGTCGCTGTCATCTTTCTGACCAGTAGATTGTTATAGAATATCACCCCTGTCGGACTGCCAACCAGGGAGAACCGAACTTGGTTACAAGATGACGAGGTTTGTGGGACACATAGCAAAAACAGGCACAGGAATACACCTGCACCTGGAACCATTATCCCAGGCCTGGACGTTCCGTAGATAGTTTTCGTGTTACGTTGTTGTTTGAACATCACTGTATGGTATACCTGGTACAAAGGAGAAATGATTGCAAGTACTTTTCACTTTTGTTTTGTAAATGAAAGTTTTATCATATGACATCATATTGGTACATTCCTCATACAGTATGTGATGGAGAACAATACAGGAAATCAGTGCCAGCAAACGCAAAACAATCATATCACTTGTCCCTGAGACCCGTGAAGATTCCGGGGTAGAATAGGTCTTCATGATCAGGAACCCATACATGCCGTAAAAGGCGACTAACGGGATCGGGTGGTCAGGCTCGCTGACTTGGTTGATATATGTCATCGATCCCAATTGCGTGGAACGATGTTCATGATATTAATCACTGGATCGTCTGGTCCAGACTCGATTATTTACAGACCGCCGTCATATAGCTGGAATATTGCTGAGTGCGGCGTTAAACAACAAGCCAACCAACCAATTTGTTCCTGAACTATCACCATGACATATGAGGAGATTATCAACCATACCTAGAAAAGTGTTTTAACCCTGTTGGTGCCAAGGGACTATATATGGTCCCTCACCTTTAACACCCTCTTAGTGCCACCGGACCATATATTGTCCCGTAAAAATGTCCCTTTTCAACTGTAAATTAAGGTGTCAAAGACTGAGCGCGCACAATCAAAATTATAACCATCATCACCCTTATCAGCTTTAATATCGTGTAACTCATATTTTATACAATGCTACGGATCGCGAAATATGTTGAGATTAGTAAAGTGGTTACCGCGCTTCTCGACCTTTTTCTGTAATGCGAATGACGGCAATTCTTTTTATCATGCACCCATGTCACATACACGTAACTATTATAATATCAGACAGCCAATTTGAAATCTATCAGCCTGGCCAGAAAGATTTACCTTCCCCACTGTATAGTTATTGTTACCGACGTTTAGTCCGCAACGGAAATATTTTGTTCAAGTATTGCATATTATTATCGACTGTGTGTCATGATGGTTCAGCACGGCGCTAGAGACGAAACGACAGTGCAGATTGACTTTCTGTTTATGATGCTGATTTACAAAAAAATATTCAAATATAAGATGTGGAAAGATAGCTATGATCGTTAATATTATGTTCGCATTGAGTGTATTTATAGGCAGGAAGTTCATGATCGAAACGTAAACATTGAATGGACAAACTCGAAGTGATCGACAGGGCACGTTCGCATCATACCAGTGCAGCGATTTCTTGTCTACTCGCTTTCCAACATGCTTGCCCTTTTCGACAAATAATTATAAGTGCTGCTTCTTTCAAATGAAAGGACTAACAGTTATGTGTTATTGCTCAAACTACCTGACCATGTGAATGAATTGCCCTAACCGTTTCACATGTTGTCGGGGGGCACGGGTGCAGAGTTGTGCAGAGTTGCGTCCCTTGGGCACGCCAGAAACCTATGATTGTAGGTTCGAATCCCGGTTCGCCCAAATTATGTTTCTAGGTTTGTCAGCACCATACCCGTGCTCGTGGGTTTCACCGAACTGGTGAACGTCTGAGACCTGCATCACTTCGGGCTTTCCTCCCACATTAAGCTGACACGCCGTGATATAACTGGAATACTGTTAAAAGCGGCGTTAAATCCAACTCACTCACTCACTCACATTTTGTCGCAGTAAGATATTGTAAGTGTGGCCACGACATCTAACGTTAGTTGACGCCAAATTGTGTCAAGGTCCTTTCATTGAAACGGTGATAATGGCGCTATGATTGGTTTGCTGAAATTAAATTTAGAGATGATTGATGTTGACTGTACTCTCGATTAACGTATGATAATCTATTGCAAGTCTTCAACTCTTTTTCGATATGTTTTCTGAAAAGTCAGAAATGAGTAAACGCTTTATTGTTTTTCGTCCAATTACGTTACAATCTTCAAGTTTATTTGTGTAGGCAAATGGACGGTCGGTGATTTCCCACCGCTGGGATTTTGTCGTCTGGACAGGTGCGCGTGATTTGACCTCGCTTGTTGTGACGTGGATGACGTCATGTCAAACAGCTGATCGAATGTTGTGGTCGTATAATGGATACACATGGTTTCAGTTTCCAAATAATAATATTCTCTTTGACTGAACTGGAAAGTATACTATCACGAATAGGAAGATTTCCACTGCAACCGACGAGTGGATGAGACCGTTTGTCACTTGACTAACACTGTTAGAATATTTGGCTCCGTTTTTATCCCCCGCCGCGCGAAAGCGCGAAGCGGGGGATATAGTATTCACGACCGTCCGTCCGTCCGTCCGTACGTCCCACCTGTTTGTTGCCGCGATATCTCAAGAACTAAACACTGGATTGTCTTCATATTTGGAACTATGGTGTATATACAGACTCCGCAGACACCAGTCGGTTTTGGTGACCTTGATCCCATTTTCAAGGTCACAGCAGACATCTGCTTTTAGAGTTGGAAAACGGTGTTGCCGCGATATCTCAAGAACTAAACACTGGATTGTCTTCATATTTGGAACTATGGTGTATATACAGACTCCGCAGACACCAGTCGGTTTTGGTGACCTTGATCCCATTTTCAAGGTCACAGCAGACATCTGCTTTTAGAGTTGGAAAACGGTGTTGCCGCGATATCTCAAGAACTAAACACTGGATTGTCTTCATATTTGGAACTATGGTGTATATACAGACTCCGCAGACACCAGTCGGTTTTGGTGACCTTGATCCCATTTTCAAGGTCACAGCAGACATCTGCTTTTAGAGTTGGAAAACGGTGTTGCCGCGATATCTCAAGAACTAAACACTGGATTGTCTTCATATTTGGAACTATGGTGTATATACAGACTCCGCAGACACCAGTCGGTTTTGGTGACCTTGATCCCATTTTCAAGGTCACAGCAGACATCTGCTTTTAGAGTTGGAAAACGGTGTTGCCGCGATATCTCAAGAACTAAACACTGGATCGTCTTCATATTTGGAACTATGGTGTATATACAGACTCCGCAGACACCAGTCGGTTTTGGTGACCTTGATCCCATTTTCAAGGTCACAGCAGACAAATCTGCTTTTAGAGTTGGAAAACGGTGTTGCCGCGATATCTCAAGAACTAAACACTGGATTGTCTTCATATTTGGAACTATGGTGTATATACAGACTCCGCAGACACCAGTCGGTTTTGGTGACCTTGATCCCATTTTAAAGGTCACAGCAGGCAAATCTGCTTTTGGAGTTGGAAAACGGTGTTGCCGCGATATCTCAAGAACTAAACACTGGATTGTCTTCATATTTGGAACTATGGTGTATATACAGACTCCGCAGACACCAGTCGGTTTTGGTGACCTTGATCCCATTTTAAAGGTCACAGCAGGCAAATCTGCTTTTGGAGTTGGAAAACGGTGTTGCCGCGATATCTCAAGAACTAAACACTGGATTGTCTTCATATTTGGAACTATGGTGTATATACAGACACCGCAGACACCAGTCGGTTTTGGTGACCTTGACCCCATTGTCAAGGTCACAGCAGGCAAATCTGCTTTTGGAGTTAGAAAACGGTGTTGCCGCGATATCTCAAGAACTAATCGCTGGATTGTCTTCATATTTGGAACTATAGTGTATATACAGACACCGCATACACCTGTCAGATTTGGTGACCTTGACCCCATTTTCAAGGTCACAGCAGGCAAATCTGTTTTTGGAGTCGGAAAACGGTGTTGCCGCGATATCTCAAGAACTAAACACTGGATTGTCTTCATATTTGGAACTATGGTGTATATACAGACTCCGCAGACACCAGTCGGTTTTGGTGACCTTGATCCCATTTTCAAGGTCACAGCAGGCAAATCTGCTTTTGGAGTTGGAAAACGGTGTTGCCGCGATATCTCAAGAACTAATCGCTGGATTGTCTTCATATTTGGAACTATAGTGTATATACAGACACCGCATACACCTGTCAGATTTGGTGACCTTGACCCCATTTTCAAGGTCACAGCAGGCAAATCTGTTTTTGGAGTCGGAAAACGGTGTTGCCGCGATATCTCAAGAACTAAACACTGGATTGTCTTCATATTTGGAACTATGGTGTATATACAGACTCCGCAGACACCAGTCGGTTTTGGTGACCTTGATCCCATTTTAAAGGTCACAGCAGGCAAATCTGCTTTTGGAGTTGGAAAACGGTGTTGCCGCGATATCTCAAGAACTAAACACTGGATTGTCTTCATATTTGGAACTATGGTGTATATACAGACACCGCAGACACCAGTCGGTTTTGGTGACCTTGACCCCATTGTCAAGGTCACAGCAGGCAAATCTGCTTTTGGAGTTGGAAAACGGTGTTGCCGCGATATCTCAAGAACTAATCGCTGGATTGTCTTCATATTTGGAACTATAGTGTGTATACAGACACCGCATACACCTGTCAGATTTGGTGACCTTGACCCCATTTTCAAGGTCACAGCAGGCAAATCTGTTTTTGGAGTTGGAAAACGGTGTTGCCACAATATCTCAAGAACTAATCGCTGGATTGTCTTCATATTTGGTAGTATGGTGTACAGGCGGGGGATATTTCGTCACTCTGTGACAAATACTTGTCTAAATTTAGTATGTTGACATATGTGCTTTTCATATCTGTTTTTGAAGGCTTGATATTCCAGGAAATAATGTGCATATAGTTGAGTAGGATAATGGAAAGTTTTAAGGTAGAAGGCTATCAAAATGGATCCAATATAAAACCTGTTTTATATTTCAGCTTCATATATCCCGCATGGTTCAATTTATAACATAAACAGTAATTTGGTTTGTTTTTTTGTTGTTTAACGCCGCACTCAGCAATATTCCAGCTATATGACGGCGGTCTGTAAATAATCGAGTCTGGAACAGACAATCCAGTGATTCATATCATGAGCATCGATCCGCGCAATTGGGATCGATGACATGTATCAATCAAGTCAGCGAGCCTGACCACCCGATCCCGTTAGTCGCCTTTTACGACAAGCATAGTCGCCTTTTACGGCAAGTATGGGTTGCTGAAGACCTGTTCTACCCCGGAATCTTAACGGGT